GCTGCCCATCTTCTGTCATCAGCTGGGTTTTCTTTTTCAGCAATATGGGGAAGATGATGAGAAACCCAGGTCTTGCCGACTCTGGAGGAGGAGAAACGGTATGCCAGGAAGCCAGGCGTATCCTAGTGATAAACAAACAACCTCCTGTTCTTCTAGGGAAGGGACAGACTCCCTGTTTAGCTCCTAGAGCATTTTATTTTATTCCATGGGGAGGATATCTGTTCCGAACATTTGTTTTGTGACACATTTGTCTCTGACTGACATTTAGAGAAGCTATAGTACAGGCCACCAGCATAACACATTCCCACGCAGTCCAGGGCATGGGAGGCTTGGCTCTGTGTGTGTTAGGCCAAGACTCATCCGCATGTGCTCCGCTGCTGCATTTGATCCCCACTTGCCTCTCCCTAAGGCAGACTCAGGATCACTCTGTTGTCACCTGGCAGCAGCACACACTTTCCTTATTCAAACTGCACTGAAACACATTCCTTCTGCCAACTCTCCTCGGGCTTCTGGACCTGAGCCTTGCACTGAAATAAAATAGACATCTCTCTATATCTGATGATTCTCCATTGGAGGCCTAAGGAGGTTGCCATCTCCTTGTCTTTCTTCTAAACCTTTCACCTTTGCAAGTAATTTAAAGAGGCAGCTAAAACAGAAGCAGCTGGTGGCTGGGCTGCGAGGGTCAGGACCGCTCTGTGATAAGGCACTGGGCATTTCTCGAGGGACTCAACGGGCACGGCCTCATTTCGATGCTGAGCGTCCAGCCCCAAATATGAGGTGGTGTCCCTGCGAGCAACACAGGCCCTGGCTTTTAAAACAACTCTTTTCTTTCACTGAAAGATGGTTTGTAAAAAGCCCCTTTTCTCTCACCCGCCCTGTATGGATGTCTATCCATTTTTGACTACTATTTCTGTTTTAATTTATTGCTTCATTTGAAGAGCCAGGGGCGGGAAAAGGATAACATTCCTTCTCTCTGGCTTGGCAGCTCTCCTGGTGCAAGTGTTTACAAGCCTCCTGCCCACTGCTGCGGCAAAGGCGTCTGTGTGGTTGTGATGTGGTCTCAGGCTTTATTTCAAATCTGTGATCAGGGTAATAATGCAGTGAGTTCCCTCTCCTACCCTCTTTCTTGGACCAACCTGGTTGGGGGAGGATAAAACCCCTGCCGTGTCTGTCCCTGACTGCTGTGCTCAGTTCAAATCCAGCCTGCCTTTATTCCTCAGGGCTCTGGCTTTCTACCCGCCAGAGCTAAGCGTGTCAGCAAGGGCGTGAGTCCATGAAGGCCACATCGCCTAAGAGGCCTCAGGCCTTTTTGGCCCTTCTGAATTGGGGAAAGCTTATGAATGTATTGGCGACCATGTTGCACGAGACTTTTATCCCACAGCCATTCGCTGTAAGCAGAAGGATCTGGTGCCAAGGAGCTGGTCGGGTCTGTTGTTGCTGTTTCCTCCTCCCCAGGGTCTAGTGAGCGAAGCTGGAGAGAGCACAGCAAAACGTAGAGAGGAAAGGAGGCTGCCCCTCCATCTTGGCCTTGGAGACCCATCTCACCCTTCCTTGGTCACCAGAGTCTAAGGCCCTAAGGGGAAAGGGGGCAAATTGGCTCTTGAAGACTGAATGTAATGTATGCCATTTTTGGCCTGGCAGTTCAGCACAATGTTCTGGGAGAATCTCTTGTGCAAGCCCCAGAACTGGGGAAGGGAGAGGTTGGGGTGGGATTGTTGGGGGGAGGATGTGGAGGTGCCAGAGCTGATCCCATTGGCCCTGTGCAGCTGTTGTAATCTCTTGGATTGTAACTTGTAAGTACGTGACAATGTACGAAGATGTAATAACAATGACCGGTTATTCCTTCTTGTGACTGCTGTGCAGAGTTGAATTGCTTGGACTTGGGAATTGGGGGGGGGAGGGGTGTCAGATCAATGTTTCACTCATTTATTACAGAATAGAGCAGAGGAGGAGGAGGAGGTGGTGGTGGTGGAGGAGGAGGAGGTGGTGGAGGAGGAGGTGGAGGAGGAGGTGGAGGAGGAGGTGAAGGAGGTGGTGGTGGAGGAGGTGGTGGAGGGGGTGGAGGAGGTGGTGGAGGTGGTGGTGGAGGAGGAGGAAGAGGTGGTGGAGGAGGTGGAGGAGGTGGTGGTGGTGGAGGACGTGGTGGAGGAGGAGGTGGTGGTGGAGGAGGAAGAGGTGGAGGAGGAGGAGGATGACGACTTAGGGCCACACTGATAAATGTTGTTAGGGGAAGATAAAGACTTTAAAAAAAATCAGGCCCAGATGTCAAATATTTAGCATATGCTAGAAATGTAAACATATCTAACCATGTTGCTACTTCTAGCATAGCTTTTGCATAACTATATCTCAGAAACTCCAAGGGAAAGTATCCAGATTGGAACTCCTTCACCTCTGAAAATAACCAAAACTGACAGAGGTGTGTGTGTGTGTGTCAGGAGCAACTTGAGAGACTGTAAGTCGCTTCTGGTGTGAGAGACATTGCCCAGGGAATACCTGGATGTTTTATCATCCTGTGGGAGGCTTCTCTCATGTCCTCTGCATGGGGAGCTGGAGCTGGCAGATGGGGGCTCACCACGCTCCTTGGATTTGAACCACCAATCTTTCGGTTAGCAGTCCTACCAGCACAAGGGTTTAGCCCATTGCGCCACCGGGGGCTCCAAGTGACAGGAGAAAGGGCAGAAGATGATAGATGGATTACAGTAGCAATGGGAACCTTGTGGTCCTCCTAAGTGTTGTTGGCCTCCAACAGCCCTCGATACATAGCGACTTCTGAAGGATGAGCGGACTTACAGTATTGAGGACAATACTTTCCTACCCCTTGCTAAAAGTATTTGGTTTATTTTCCCATTTATGAATTCATTGCATCTAAGATCTATCATAATTTGATAATTTCACAAGAGAGAAAACTGTCTAGCTTGAAATGCAAACCCTTTGAAAAAGAAACACATCCAGAAGTAAATACTAGCATCTTATGAATCAACATGGGAAAGTTTCCAGCCAAGATCAAGCTTGACTAGAGAACTGTTAATTTCAATGGGTGAGCTGTGAGTTTTCTGGGCTGTATGGCCATGTTCCAGAAGCATTCTGTCCTGGCATTTCACCCACATCTATGGCAAGCATCCTCAGAGGTTGTGAGGTCTGTTGTAAACTAGGAATGAAAGCTTTTGACAACACATTCAATGGGTGAGTTTCATGTGTTCAAAATCAGTATAACTTCGAGGTTATAGTGCTGGTAGATCGTGGTGTAGAGGCAGGACTACAAAGCACAAATCCACAAAAATTGCAACACTATCCCAACTTTTTGTGAAGGCATTTGGTGAAGTATCTCCACACAACCCTTCTTCCAAAGGAGTCGACATGAGGAACAGAAGATAGTAACATAAAAGCACCAGCAGTATAACACAGTTATAAAACATGAAGGGGTAATTAAATTTAAAATGAAGTGTCCAACTGAAACTGTCACAATGAACAGAAGCACTTGAATTGACGGACACAGATACCATTTCATTGGGTAAGGGTTTTCCTAAGTGTGATGATACAATGAAGAAAGATTCTCAAGGGCGGAGATACTTTTTGCAGAAAAACACTACCAATTCAGCTGCTATGAATGAGACCCCAAACCACTTAAATAGACACAATGGGATTTTCCTTGGTGTATAAGTACACTATTTTAGTGGCGCATGCACACCATCGCCGTTAGGACTGCAACACACAGCAACCCCAGCCAGGGATTAGGAATGTTGGGGGTTTGGGCCAGAAACACCCATCTAGCAGCTTGGAGCCTGACATACAGAACACCATAAGAGTTTCTTCATTCAGTCGCAATTCATACTTAGAGATGGGTTAATTTAGAAGGTTAAAGGTTTCCCTTTGACATTAAATTTAGTCATCTCTGACTCTGGGGGCGGGGGGGGGGGTTGCTCATCTCCATTTCTAAGCTGAAGTGCTGGCATTGTCCTTAGACACCTCCAAGGTCATGTGGCCAGCATGACTGCATGAAGCGCCGTTACCTTCCCACCAGACTGGTACCTATTGATCTACTCACATTTGCATGTTTTCTAACTGCTAGGTTGGCAGAAGCTGGGCCTAACAGCGGGAGCTCCCCGCGCTCCCCGGATTCAAACGACCAATCTTTTGGTCAGCAAGTTCAGAAGCTCAGTGCTTTAACCTGCTGCGCCACTAGGGGTGCCAATGGGTTTATTTAAGTAACTATTAATAGGTTGTTGTAGGTTTTTGTGGCCTATACGGCCATGTTCTGGAGGCATTCTCTCCTGATGTTTCGCCTGCATCTATGGCAAGCATCCTCAGTGGTAGTGAGGTCTATTGGAACTAGGAAAATGGGTTTATATATCTGTGGAATGACTAGGGTGGGACAAAGAACTCTTGTGTGTTAGAGCAAGGTGTGAATGTTTCAACTGACCACCTTGATTAGCATTTGATGGCCTGGCAGTGCCTGGGGCAATCTTTTGTTGTGAGGTGAAATTCACAAACGTGGACAATTTCAACAGAAAGGAGGAAACCATGAAAATGAACAAAATCTGGCTATCAGTATTAAAAAAAAACTCTAAAATTACAATAGCAAAACAACAGAGAGGAAACAATCAAGGACATCCATTCACCTCTCAAAAAAAAATTACCCCATACACTGCCAGGCCATCAAATGGTAATCAAGGTGGCAGTTGAAACATTCACACCTAGCTCCAACAGACAAGAGTTCTTTGTCCCACCCTAGTCATTCCACAGATATATAAACCCATTTTCCTAGTTCCAACAGACCTCACTACCTCTGAGGATGCTTGCAATAGATGCAGGCGAAACGTCAGGAGAGAATGCCTCTAGAACATGGCCATACAGCCCAAAAAAACCTACAACAACCCTGTGATTCCCGCCATGAAAGCCTCTGACAATACATTAACTATTAATATATGACTTGGAACCAAGTCTTTGGTAATTCCACCTGAAAACCTAAAGAAAATCGCAGTATTAAATGACACAGATGATAGAGAAAAAAAGCAGTCCCCAAAGGGGACTACAAAAAAGTTTATTAATTTTATGAATTTTAGTTTCCACAGAAGCAGAAAGTACAAATTCTAAATATACATTAACTCCCATTGTCATTTACATAAGCAAAAATAGGATTAAAATGCACTTCCAACTTTAAATAGAGCATTACACCTTCAGAAAAAAAATACTGCAGATTTCCTGGAACACTGAAGAACTTTAAAATGAATGATGAAGTGCTTTAGCTCATATTAGAAATAAATAAGGTGGTTTAGTAATAAATCAATGATCAGTAATACCCTTCCCTAATCCTAATGTTATTTTCTTTATTTGCCTAGAAAGCGACTTCAACCCTATGAATTCTTACTAAAAATGTAGAATAACAGGCCATATGCAGATTTCCAGATGTTGCTGAATTGCAACTCCCATCAGCCAATATGGCCAATGGCGAGGGGAGTCCAACATCAGGTCACTGATGTTCATCTTTAATTTACATAAAGTAAAAAAAAAATCTATGGGAAATAAATTACAGAAAAATCATCAAAACCATCTATTCTCAACTATGGGCAAACGAAACTGGCAAAAGGTTTTCCTAGCTTGGCAAATTACGGAACCAAGATAGAAGCATGTTCACAGCATGCAAGTTTCCTTTAACACAAAGATCTGGAGATCTGAAGCTTCCATCATTCTTAAAAGCAAGAAAAAAAACTCCAAACAATTCCTAAACAATTGCTGGAAGCTCAAGTCAACAATGAGCCTTTCAAAGTGGCATGCTTAACACACCATTGATACAATCAAGTGTAGTGTAAATACTGACATCCATGAAATGCCCAGCTGGATATACTGGATTTACCTTTCATAACTGGGCTGTAACAGTGACAGCGAGGTTTGCAATACAGCAGAAATGAGCAAGCTACGGCCTTCCAGATGATGTTGGATGAACCCCCATCATCCCTTACTGTTACAGATTGCAGTAGCAAGGGCTGATGGAGGGTGTAATACAACTACATCTGAATGGGAACTAGTTGTCCATCCCAGTACAAAAAATATCCTGTTATTTTCCCTTTAACAATAAGCCAGGGGTTATAACACCCCGTCATGAGAAGCAAGCTCAAACGTCTCTCAGTTCCACCTTTGGTGAGAAGTCCCTTTCAAGTTAGAGGCCTCAACTTGGGAATTATTTCCTTCTTCGTGTTCCTTCTAGCAGAACAAGGGATAAAATACTGAGATATGTGTTCTTACCTCATTGGGAAGAGAAGACGAGAGACTCAAGGAAAGAGGACCAACTACGGAAAAATAAAATTAGCACTGGCTTTCCAAAGCCAGTGTAGCAGGTGTATACGTGTTTGTGTGGGTTGACAAGGAGAAACGAAACGGATCCTCTTCAAAACCATCACACCGCAGTCCATCTGTTGACAAAATACAGCTTTGGGCATCCTTCCCATTCTGGCAAGGGCTGCACACCCTTGTCTTTCCACCCAAATGAAAAAGAAATCCCACAGCAAGCAGACCTCAGTTTACATAGCAGGAGAACCCGAACCAGACTTGTTCTCATTGATGACATATGTTAAGGGGCTTATGCTGTTCTTCCCTTGAGCTGCATCTTCTGCTGTTGGAGGCCAAGGGCCAGCATGGGCGGTCGTGAAATTTGCACCGCAGTCCACATAATGATAGGTCTCCAAGGAGCTCTGAGTTATGTGTCCAATGTATGAGATCTTCACTGAAGTCCTGAAGGCAAAAAGAAAATAGTATTTAGAGAACAAAGACTGTACACTGTCCTTAAATGAAATTTATTTACTTATTTACAGTATTCATATTCTGCCTTTTTCACCCCAAAGAGAACTCAGGGCGGATCACAGAACACATATACGGCAAACATTCAATGCCGGTTGTACAATAACAAGACAGACAACAGATAAAGGTATATTTGGGCTTTTTCTCATCATATGGCACCTCTGGAGGCTGTGCTCGGTTGCGACCACTGAGGGGTGCTGTTGCTCCATCTCCTTATCAACACATTTCTTTGTTCGTAAACTTCCTTTTTCTGATCGAAACCTCCTGCCTAAAATACCTCGCCATTTTTAATGCACTTCCTATTTATCTACTCACATATTTTTTTCTAAACTGCTAGATTGGCAGAAGCTGGGCTGAAAGGTCAGGCGCTCACCATGACCTGGGCTTCAAACTATAAACCTTATGGTTGGCAAGATTATTGCAGCTTGGTGAATAACTTGCTGTGCTAAAGATAGGGCCTGAAAGACAACATTCTGGATTCAGGATACTTCTAGGTGAGTCTTTTGCCTTATGCAGTTGCCCTGCCTCATTAATCAGGGCCCAGAAAACACTGCCTTCTTCAATTTGTAGCCTCTTCTGACTTTTTTCTTCTTCTTATCAGGGAGAAAACATTTAAGAAAAGAAGGATAAATAGTTGCACAATGCTGTTTGTCTAGGATCATCCTGAATTTTTATACAAGCGCTAGCTGATTGGGTAAGGCGAGTGTGCCTAGCACACCGAGCCTCAATTTTACAAAAATGCTCAAATGAAACCTGCCAAAATGTTTTTGAGAACAAAAACGAAAACAACAACAAAAAGAACTTGCCTGAAAATAACCTGGAAAAAGTTCCTTTTTCAGAATCTGTAGCTACACTGGCTTAGGGACTTTGGTAGTTGTACTGAAAACAATAACAACCTGAGTCTTTTCCGGGAGATGGGGCGGTCTACAAATAAGGTTTTTATTATTTATTTATTTAGATATAATGTTGTCAATTATTGAAATTTGGCAGCCATACATTTTGTCAAGCATTTGCTCATACAAATTTGGAAAAGGATTCCTATGAAAAATGATTTTTCTCCTCCAGGAGATCCCAAAGACTAAGAACCAAAGGGGGAAGTGCAGCAAGATTCAGCGACTGGGCTTCAGGGCTTCATCTTCCCAGGCCAACAGAATTTACATTAAAAGGTTTTCAAATTAAGACTTCTTGAATTCCAAAGTCTGAATTGTCTGGTAAATTTGGGATTTATTTTAGCACTAGTATATATACCCAAGGGGCTGCGGTGGTGCAGCGGGTCAAACCACTTGCTGACCAGAAGGTCAGTGGTTAAAATCCATGGGACAGGGTTAGCTCCCGCTATTAGCCTCTGCTTCTGCCAATCTAGCAGTTCGAAAACATACAAATGTGAGTAGATCAATAGGTACTGCTCCAGTACTGCTTATATACCCAGCATTGCCCAGGTGTTGTTGGAACAGCTGCCCACCTACTTTTTCCCTTCTCCAGCTCTGAAGAAGCCTACTTCACAATGTCTCCACGGCAATTCACTATTATTATTATTATTATTATTATTATTATTATTATTATTACTATTATTATTATTATTATAACTTTATTTGTACCCCGCTAGCATCTCCCGAAGGACTCGATGTGGCTTACATAGGCCAAGGCCTCAGAACACAATACAACAATACAATACCTAAAGCAAATTAAAAACAGTTAAGCAGAATAAACAATAACAGTAACAATACATCAAAACATTATTAAAACTGGGCCAGTCAGAGTAGTGGGCCGGCCACTAGTAATGATGAGCAGGCTCTTTTTTTCATCTATTTTTCACATACATCTTTTCTCCCCTTCTCTTTTTTTCCTTCCTAGAAATTGAGATGAGCATCAACCCCGAGAGTTGGACACAACTAGACTTAATGTCAAGGGAAACCTTTACCTTTACCTATGGACACATCTGACAGTCATTGTAAATGTCTGCCTGCCTGCCTGTTTGTAGTGTAATGCTGTTGCTAAGTGAAGTGGCCCTTTGTGATGTCACTGGGAAATAAAACTGACATGAGTATGAGAAGGGAGAAAAGAGACACAGAAACAGCCTGCCCACCATTGGCAGGGTATTGACATGGAGACATGGTGAGGTAGGACCTCTCAAAGCTGGAGAAGGGAGAAAGTAGGTGGCTAGCAGTCCCAATAACACCTGGGCAACACAGAGTATAAAAGTTCTATATATATAAAAGTAAATAAATCTTGACTTACATATTTTCTTCAAGTTATTTCCTTCTGAGAGCGCCACCATTTTATCCACCCCACTAAGACAATGGGACCCCATCTGGGAGATTTGTATTGACATGAAATGTCACTTATGGGCTGCTCCCAGGACTAATCCCATTCTGCAGCAAAATGCATACCTCATGAAAATCACGATGTTGTGCACTCTGATCTTGGGTAGCGTACAAAAGAAACTGGAAGAGACCAAGAAACAGAGGGAAATGGTCAAGAAACTTGTTAAGTACTCAAAATGAACACCAACATGTTGATCGCACTACAAAACTATCATCTCCTATTACGGTGTTTTTCACAAGTTGATTGAATTTGGCTGACAAGATCAAGTTTATCTTCCTCTCCTGCCCGAGGCTTTTCTGCCAGTAACCAAGTCATCACAAGCACGCTCAATAATAACATGTTGGGAAAGGCCTGGCGGTGGCACAAATGTTTCTTCTTCATTGCAGCATGAGAAAACGTAGGAGGCACCAGACTTGAAAAGGCCACCTGCTTTGACTTGCGCTCCACATACTCTTGGCTCCAGCCACAACTACTGCTGGACAGCAGAACTTTTTGACCTAAGTAATGTAGATAATGAAGCCCAAAGTCTCCAGGTTCGGACTCATCTTGGAAGCAAAGCAGGGTCAGTCATGGTTAGTACTTGGATGGGGGACCACCATGGAGTACCAGGCAGGAGCTGTGGGCTATTTTTGAGAGAAAGGATCAGGCAAAAGCACCTCAAGTATTCCTTCCCTAAGAATGCCCTACGAAAGTCATGGAATAGCCACACAGGGTGGCACATAAACACATACATCTAACCTTCATCTCCAATATTGGTGCCTGAATGTTAGCCCTGGGTATATTTGACCTGCTGATTCCAAAACTGGCACTAGCTTCCCGCATCAGCTCTAGATTTTGAGATACAGTGCCATGATAACCATATCTAAGCAAGTTGAGGTGGTGAGATCTATCCAGTGCAATTTTCAGAAGTAGTGCCCCAAATAACCACAAGAAGAGGCCTAAAAAACAAATTGGTTGGACTGTGTAATAGGTCCTATGGTAGTCGGAGATGACTCCCCCCCCCCCCCTTAAAAGATAGTTCATAATCAGGGAATTCATAGTTTTGCCAAGGACACCTGGCTGGAATGATATAATAAGAGTTAAGTTTTGGCCACTCTGCAGAAGAACTAACAACCACAACAAGGACCCATCTCTTCCCAACCCTGCATGTCCCCTTATCCTTTTATGAACCCCTAAATATGCCCCATGTCCTCAGTAATTTCATATATGTACTAGCCATCCCCTACCATTGCATTGCTGTGGCCCTGTCTGCGTATATGTGTTTTGTGTATGTATATGTGTGTGTATACATTTGTGGATATGTGGATATGTGTGTTTGCATATATATATGTGGTTTTGTGCATGCGTTGTAATGTAATTTTTGTTTTTTGGCTTTTAAAGTCTCTTCTACTGTATTTTTCAGTATTTTTATGAGTGATGGTCACTTGTTGGCCTGATAGGTGTCTTGTGTCCAAATTTGGTGTCAATTCACCCAGTGGTTTTTGAGTTATGTTAATCCCACAAACGAACATTACATTTTTATTTATTTAGATGTATAAAATATGAGGCAAGGTAACCTTTTTATGAACTCTGGCCAGCTTTTCCTGACTCAGGTGCCACAAGCTGCCCTGGGTCTGCATTTTGTTAAATGGACTCTGAAGCATTTCACAATATAGACCAGGGGTCCTCAAACTTTTTAAACAGAGGGCCAGACCACAGTCCCTCAAACTGTTGGAGGGCCGGATTATAATTTGAAAAAAAAAGCATGAATGAATTCCTATGCATACTGCACATATCTTATTTGTAGTGCAAAAGACATTTAAAAACAATACAATAATTAAAATGAAGAACAATTTAAACAAATATAGACTTATTAGTATTTCATTGGGAAGTTTGGGCCTGCTTTGGCTGATGAGATAGGATTGTTGTTGTGGTTGTTGTGTGCTTTCAAGTCATTTCAGACTTAGGTTGACCCTGAGCGAGGGCCGGGTAAATGACCTTGGAGGGCTGTATCTGGCCCCCGGGCCTTAGTTTGAGGAACCTTGATATAGACAATAGCTTGATGGCCCCTTTTCTTAAGCCTCGGAGGATCAGACCACTTCAGAATTGGATAATCTTTTGAACACTTTAATCACTCTTCACAAAGGATATTTCCCCTCTGCGAGGAGAAAGGGATGTCGCTGTTCCTCCAACAATGATGTTCCCCTTCCCAGAAGAATGGATCCACAAGATCCCATCACGAAACCAGTATTGCTGTACTTTTAAACAATGGACTGGCTCTGAGGGGCCAGAAAGAAATGTTATTTCAAAACTCTATATCAATAATAGGTTGCTGTAGGTTTTTTTCGGGTTATATGGCCATGGTCTAGAGGCATTCTCTCCTGACGTTTCGCCTGCATCTATGGCAAGCATCCTCAGAGGTAATGAGGTCTGTTGGAACTAGGAAAAGGGCTTATATATCTGTGGAATGACCAGGGTGGGACAAAGGACTCTTGTCTGCTAGAGCTAGGTGTGAATGTTTCAACTGACCACCTTGATTAGCATATAATGGCCTGACAGTGTCTGGAGCAAACTTTTGTTGAGAGGTGTTTAGATGTCCTTGTTTGTTTCCTCTCTGTTGTTGTGCTGTTGTAATTTTAGAGTTTTAAAATACTGGTGGCCATATTTTGTTCATTTTCATGGTTTCCTCCTTTCTGTTGAAATTGTCCACATGCTTGTGTATTTCAATGGCTTCTCTGTGATTCTCTAAATCAATAGTTAGGTCGGACTTGAGGGCTTACAGCAATCACCTAAGTTGCTTCTCAATAGGGTCTGGGATGGGGCACTCATTATCCCGCCATCAAGCAACTATTTTCCTTTGTTTCTACTGTTGCCATGCCTCCTTGTACACCATTGGCTGAGTGGCCGGTGCGGCTCGGGCTCTCATTGGACGAGCCGCACCAGCCCCCGGCTGCTCCTCCCGGCTTGCTGACATCAGAACCAATCATAGCAAAGTTGACTCGGGGGAGGTCACAGGAGATTTGAATGGAAAACTTGTATATAATGTCTTGCTCTCTATAACTGGGCATGGCGGCTCTTCAATATCTTCAATATCTAGGTCAATTCTACTAATTCAATGGGCCTGCTTTAGCGAAGGCTAAACAAGAGGATTCCAACCTGTGTGCACTTCGACATCGAAGCACTACTTGAAGCAACTATCCAAATGCATAAGAGAACCTGTACAAAATGTTGTACCCTATCAAATACTGAACAGCAAAACATGAGCAGACCAGCCACATACGTTCAACTACAAAGCATCAGTTCAATCCACCAGGATTTTTGCAACCCTGGACAGGTAATCAAAACTGGAAGTTCTGCTCTGCTGCTGGGGAATTGCCTCCAGCCTGGTGTGTCACTGGGAAAGTCTACTCAATAGGCAGCTAATAAGATACCTCTAATAGCAGCTGTGAAGGCCATCATTAAACAAGCAATGAAAGCATAATAGAGAGAAAATATGGGATTTGACATAGTTGCCCTACTCCTGTGTGAGTCGTCCAGGTAGGGAGCAGCCAAGCTTTGAAGCTGCAAGGCTATTCAATGCTAATCAAGGTAGCTAGTTGCAACATTCACACTTGCCTCAAACAGACAAGAGGTATTTCTCCCATCCTGGACTTTCCACAGATATATAAACCCTACTTGCCTAGTTTCCAACAGACCTCACAACCTTTGAAGATGCCTGCCATAGACGGGGGTGAAATGTCAGGAGAGAATGCTTCTGGAACAATGCCATACAACCAGGAAAACTCACAGAAATTCCATTAAATATTTGATTATTCACAATGTATGCCTACTGGGCACTCACTTTGCTGCAAACATATTACAGAAATGAAATGGGATGACGCAAACCTGGAATGGCCAAGAAGGTGAAGCATATTTTGGTTTGGCTGGCAGAAGCATGCAACTGAAAATCTTTCAGGTTTGGCCAAAGATAAGAGAAGACATGATTTTCCAAGGTTTGAGATACAATGTGCGATAGTGATATTTCCCAGAATCCATTGTCAAAATTGGTGCTCCGAATATGTTCAGGTTCTAGGTACTGAGGAAATCTATGTAGTCCTCCAACAGAAAGAAGGCAGCAAATTACTTAAGGGAGCCAGTAAGGAGAGAAATAGCCACCACATCGGGGTAAAACATTGTGGAGCTTAGCTATGGTTCAAAAATAAGTAAGTCCTTACTATACATAGGAAAATGGTCCACCCATTTCAGCCTTCACTGTGAAATTCACCTAGAAAGACACAAAATGCAAGATGTAAACAATATCCATTAAGTCATATTTCTTAAAAGAATGTGATGTCTTTTCCCCTTCTCCATCCCACTCTGAATTTCTAATGAATTAGAAAGCTGTGTGTACCAGCTGGTCACTTAAAGGCTGGATGTTGGTGACGTTGTTAATCTGCTGTGTCCCAACCACAGTATTCATGTACTGCACTTGGCTGGCCAAGCTGGTCACGGCGACTGAGTAGAAATTGGAGTTTCTGATCCGGAGAGTAGCCTAAAAAGCAAAGAGAGGACACACAACACTGAAAGCACACATCTCCAACATGTCGTATATACAGTTAAGTACGGTATATACAATTGGTTGTTACCGTGATGGCGAGGACGACAAGGGAGTTCTTTTCGTCAAACCAGACTGTAACCACCTTGATGCCATTGTCGTCCACAAGAACCGAATGTGGAAAGAGAAAGAAGACCACCAGCCCCGACACCAAAAGGCAGAGCAGCACGGACACCATGACGTACAATTTCCTGCAAAGGAGCAAACCAGTTGTTCAGCCGACTTCCTTCCTACATTCAGCTCCTGTTCACAGATTTCTCATTTCCTAACCAGGAAGTTTCCTAAAGGAATTGGAAAGCAGGTCACTCTTCATAAAGGATAATATGGCCTCTATACATTCAATGAGGGGCCCCCTGGTGGCCCAGTGGTTTAAACAGTTGAGCTGCTGAACTTGAATCTGGGGAGCAGAGTGAGCTCCTGCTGTTAGCCCCAGCTTCTGCCAACCTAGCAGTTCGAAAACATGAAAATGTGAGTAGATCAGCTGCTTCTGCAGGAAGGTAACTGTGCTCCATGCAGTCATGGTGGCCACATGAACTTTGAGGGGGATATCAGTTTAAATTGATGTATATAGTTATATAAGTCATACAAAGGGAAACTATTGTCTTTAAAGATTGTATAATCATATATTTTGTATTGATAAAACATTAATAAACATATAGATTTTTTTAATCTATATGTTTATTACAACAGCCTGAAATTAAACTATGCCAGTGTTCGCCAACCCATTTTTATTTTTATTTTTTTGCCTTTTGACCCATCCAGCACTTGAATGCGACCTTTGAAAATGTCTGCAAAAGTGCATTTGGTCCCCAGGCGGAAAGAGGTTCCCCACCCTTCTTGATGCTCATTAAATCTTAAGAAGAGGTTAACCTCTTCTGGAAGCTGATCATAAAACCAAACTGAAGGACCTAGATATTCCTAGAGAGAACATACTGATTAAATCTGCAAATGTGGAAGGTCAACTGTAATCAGATTCAATAGTGCCCATGAGAAGACATTTTTCAGAAAGGTATTCACTTCCAAATTTTTGTTTGAAATGTTGATAGCTCAAAAAAGGAGTCTTAGTTTTCTTTTCTACTTACGTCCTTTGAGGTTTTAATCTCTGGTCGTGGTATGGTATCACAGCCACTATTTCATTCACTTGGTCTAAAAGAAAAGAAAACAAAACAACAACATGATTACACATTTTCCATGTTATTACTGTGAATCTATTCTATAACCACTTCACCACACCAGTTCTTTGTACTGTGGAACAATGTTTTTCCATGTTTAATCCTTCCATTGTTTAGGACGTCAGCTCCCAGACATCACATGACCAATCCTCAGGCATTCTGGAAGATGAAGTCCTAAACACTCACGGTAGACCTAGTTTGAGAATCACTGCTGGAGGGGACTCATCCTTTCCTGGAAACAAAAGAAAGGCCAATTACACTAGGAAGAGATTTACCTGTTGGGATGCAGCCAGTGCCTTGGCAGGAAGGACAGGTGATGCTGTCTTGGCCAGTGAATTCCACATAGGGGAACCTGGCAATGTCTTCCTCCCGGTCCTTGTGTTCAAGCAAGTCTTCCTCCTCCTCTTTTGGCTGCCTGGAGCAAGAGGGGCTCGTGCCCACAGAGTGTGAAGACCCCATTGGGATGGCTGGTGGGGAGGGGAAGAACCCCTACAGGTCCTGGAATGAAGGATGGAGCCAAAGAGGGTTTTTAAAACTTGACAGCAAATCTTATTCCTGCTCATACTTCAAAAGCAGACGCTAGATTACTGCAACGCACTCTACGTGGGTTTGCCTTTGAAGACTGTTCGGAAACTTTAATTAGTCCAGCGGGAGGCAGCCAGAGTACTCACCGGAGCATCATACAGGGAGCATACCACCCCTCTGCTATGTCAGCTCCACTGGCTGCCGATCCAGTTCTGAGCACAATTCAAAGTGCTGGTTTTGACCTACAAAACTCTATATGGTTCTGGCCCAGCGTATCTGTCTGAACGGATCTCCCTCTACGTCCCGCCTTGGAGTTCAAGATCTTCTGGGGAGGCCCTGCTCTCGGTCCCGCCTCTATCACAAGCGAGATTGGCGGGGACGAGGAGCAGGGCCTTCTCGGTGGTGGCCCCTCACCTGTGGAATTCCCTCCCCAGGGAAATTAGATCAGCGACATCCCTCCTTTCCTTTAGAAGGAAATTAAAAACATGGATTTGGGACCAGGCGTTTGGGCAATCTGGCAGATGAATAAAGGACTATGACGACCGATAAGAATAGATAATGTAGAACGAAATATGGACTCTGAGTTGGCGAACGCTGAGCTTGAGATTGGTTTATTGACTGTGATATATATTGATTGTTTTAACTGTCTTAATTGTTTTAATTGCTGTTTTACACGTTTATTTGTATTATTGTGTAGGCATCGAATTGTGCCTTTTTGTAAGCCGCCCTGAGTCCCCCCTCGGGGGTTGAGAAGGGTGGGGTAGAAGTACACGAAATAAATAAATAAATAAATAAATAAATATCTAGAGCAGTGGTTCTCAATCTGTGGGTCCCCAAGTGTTTTGGCCTACAACTCCCAGACATATCAGCCAGTTTACCAGCTGTTAGGATTTCTGGGAGTTGAAGGCTAAAACATCTGGGGACCCCAGGTTGAGAACCACTGCTCTATCACATGGGCCACATCTCTCCAGTCAGAAAAAAATAATTAAAGAAGAATTATGGGACTTGGACAAAACAGGCAGATGCACAATGTCCTCACTTCACCTTTGTTCCAACGTGACAAGGATATAAACACTGCATCTCTTATTGCTACCATCCAAAGTTGGAGAGAGCAGGTGTAGTGGTTTGAGTGCTGGACTATAACTCTGGAGACCTAAGTTCAAGTCCTAACATAGCCATGGAAACTTAATGGGTGCCCTTGGGTGAGTCACATGCTCTCAGCCTCGAAGGGAGACAGAGGCAAACACCGTCTGAATAAATCTGGTAAGGAACATCCCATGATAGGTTTTGCTGTAGAGTCACCATAAATCAGAAATGACTTCAAGGTACACAACAACAAGAGTTGAAAACTCAAAAAGACGAGCACAAGAAAATGAAGAATGGCAGAAATCTAACTACAGAACCCAATTCCACTTTCTGTGCTTTAGCAAAGCCCTCAACACATCACAATATACACACACATACACAATATACATACACATCAGCACTCTGGGCAGGAGCAAAGTTCCTCTGAAATAGGTTTAGGCATCTGGCCAATCTGGATGGGGCTTTGTTCCCTTCTGAAAATAATGACCATTTAAAGGGGCCGCATGCCATGGACTTTATGTTGATAAGTCTTCCCGATTCCCATTCTTTGCTTCCCTCATCAGGGCTCCTTGAGGAAAAACTTGGGCCCTTTCTACACTGCCATATAAAATCCAGATTTTCTGATGTGAATTGGATTATATGGCAGTGTAGGCTCATATAATCCAATTCAAAGGAGATAATGCAGATTACCTGCTTTAATAATCTGGATTAATTGGAAGTGTAGAAGGGACCATAGTGGGCACTGGATGTGTAACTGGCCCCCTTTCCCAAAGGCAGACGTGGACAGCTGGTGAAAGATTTGGGGTTTTGGAGTATTGATTTCTCGATAAGGGAGAGCCAACCTTTTGTTACAGGCAGTCCAAATGACGACTTTCAATGCCTTTCAGAAGTGCATTGAAATTGGTGCATGATGCAGCAATCACACTGGAGTGGAGTATGGAGAAGTTTTTGTTGTTGTATTTGCACCATTACTTTCAGTATTGTCAAAACCAGGACCACATGAGTTGAGGAAGTATGGCAGCTGTGAGGTAAAAAATATTAATGTTTCTATGCTGTAGTATGGGCCATTTCACCACAGTGCTGTTAAAGAATCACTGGATCTCAGTTTTCCCTGTTTCCTCAGTCCAACGACCATATCTTCTCCTTTATCAACTACTTAAGTTTCTGAAGGTATCAAGAGACGCACCTGTACAGGTTCAAAACCAACCCGAAGCCTGTTTAAACATACTCCTGGAGTGTATTAGATCATGTTATATAGAATTTCCTGCCAGCTGATGGCAGCTATGTACTTTTTTTGTTGTTGTTGTGTCAGGAGTGACTTGAGAAACTGCAAGTCACTTCTGGTGTGAGAGAATTGGTCGTCTGCAAGGACGTTGCCCAGGGGACGCCTGGATGTTTTTGATGTTTTACCATCCTTGTGGGAGGCTTCTCTCATGTACTCGCATGAGGAGCTGGAGCTGATAGAGGGAGCTCATCCACCTCTCCCCGGATTCGAACCTGCGACCTGTTGGTCTTCAGTCCTGCCTGCACAAGGGTTTAACCCACTGCGCCACTGGGGGCTCTGTACTGGCATCACCTCATTTTGAACTTCGGCTTCAATTAGGATGATGAAAACTGCCTGTCACTGAAAGACCGACCACCCATGGTTTTACTGGCACAATATTTTGTATTTAAACATATTTCCCCACTTTATTTCACCCTCTAGTGCAATTAGACCCCATTGTTTCATCCCACTGGAACCTCCTTCCAGATATACTACATTGCTCATCTCACCCAGTGTTTTTAAACCTTTTATCTTTGCAACTGGCCCTGCCCATTGTGTTCAATTATTGTGATTTTTATTGCATTGTGTGTTTACTTTGTATTGTTTTTTGTATTATTATTTTCATTATATTTTATTACTGTATTTTTTATGTTGCATATTTGCATTGTTGTAACTGTTGGGCTTGGCCTCCTGTAAGCTGCCTCGAGTTCCCTTGGGAAAATGGTGGCAGGGTATAAATAAAGTATTATTATTATTTTACTGACACATAAGCACAGTATGTCACAGCAAATGAGATCTATATGCTGGATTTCGTATCACAAAATCACAAGTCGAACACTTCCCAAGGACTATGTGATGTATTTTCGAATGATGCGCGCAGATCCATATTATTATTATTATTATTATTATTATTATTATTATTATTATTATTATTATTTTGACAGCCAGGAGTGTCTTAAGACAGACCAGTTTTATTTGCCATTTTAATAAGCTAAACATAAACAAAACAAATTGGTAAAGGTATCTTTCTATGAGATCTTTTCCAAATTGAGATGCTTACATGCTCCATTCAGCAGCAACAGCTCTCTGGACTGTCACCCTGATGCTCAAAATGTATTCATGGGACAGAACTGTGAAACACCCATCCTGGAGAGGTCAGTTTGTTTAATGCTGAAATGTGGCTATCCCCCAAAAAAGCATTCAGGCTGAATTAATATATTGTGTTTGCAATTCCTCTGTTGAACTGCAAAGTTTCATTTGTTTTGTTGACTGCGTGATCCTGTTTATCAGGGACATTGCCAGGTTGAGAGCTAAGCCTGCTTATGGAAATCCCTCTGCGAGAGCTACTGAAAATCAAGCATATTTTTTCGTACGTCCATATCAAGGCCTTGCTCTTCAACACGGCAAAAAGCAGCTTCCCACAATCTGTTGCCTTCCTATACTAAAGAGAACCCTGGAAACTAAGGCCTCTTCCACACATCTGAACAAAATCCAAGATTATCTGCTTTAAACTGGGATATATGGCAGTGTGGACTCAAATATTCCAGTTCTAAGCAGATATTGTGGGATTTTCTGCCTTGATATTCTAGGTTATATGGCTGTGTGGAAGGGCTCTTAGGCATTCTCTCCTATCTGAGCACAACAAAGCTAGGTTGATGCCATCTAGGAAATAGAAAATTCTACAGACATTTCATACATCATGAGAGAGCAAAAACCTCGTCTGTTATAAAGTATTTAGCTCATCTTGGGAGAGTAAATATTTCATTGGGGCATTTTCAACATTTCCCACAGCTTCTGGTGTGAGAGAGTTGGCCGTCTGCAGAGACGTTGCCCAGGGGATGCCCGGATGTTTTACCATCCTGTGGGAGGCTTCTCTCATGTCCCCACATGGGAAGCTGGAGCTGACAGATGGGAGCTCACCCCGCTCCCTGGATTTAAACCGCCGACTTTTCGATCAGCAGACCTGCCAGCACAAGGGTTTAAGCCATTTTGCCACCAGGGGCTCCTGCAAACCAATCAAAAGTCGATATAAAATGCTAGAATAATTAGGGATCAGTCTGGCTACTACCTAGATCTGGCATCCTGGTGGAGATGAGGGACAGGGCCTTCTCTGCAGTGGCCCCCCCATCTGTGGAACTCCATCCCCAGGGACATCAGATTGGCCACCTCCCTCCTGTCCTTCTGAAAGATAGGAGGGAGGTGGCCAATCTGATGTCCCTGGGGACAGAGTTTCACAGATGGGGGGCCCCTGCAGAGAAGGCCCTGTCCCTCATCTCCACCAGTCGCATTTGCGATGGCGCTGGGATTGAGAGCAGGGTCTCTCCAGATGATCTAACTGTGGCCCTCCAGCTGTTTGGGCCTCCAACTCCCAGAAGTCCTAACAAGCTTGTTTAATGGCCAGGAATTCTGGGAGCTGAAGGCCCAAACAGAGGAGGGGCGCAGTTTGAGGATGCCTGATTTAGAATGTAGAAGTGTACCTGTTTGCAACTGTAGCTGCCGCTATATGCACTATGCTTACTGACATCACTGGGGCTGTCCATTGTGACAGCCACCCTAGAATGTCATAAGGACCAGCACATTGTGACATCATAAGGGAGTGGGTCAGGCCTGGAATAGTCAGTACTACAAAGCCAGGATGATGGTTTGATGACACTTAGGACCCTTCCACACAGCCCTCTATCCCAGAATATCAATGCAGAAAATCCTACAGTGTGGACTCCAACAACCCAGTTCAAAGCAGATATCGTGGGATTTTCTGCCTTGATATTCTGGGATAGAGGGCTGTGTGGAAGGGCCCTGTGTAATACATTTTTTGTTCCTAGGTTATAAATGCCATTTCCTAATTGGTCCTATCATAAAAACATGGAAGACGAAAAAATAGACTACAAAAACCTTGTTATTGGGAATATCCTGCAGCACATTTTGCTATAGTTTTTCAATGAATATCTCATAAAATTTGGGCTCTCTGGGTATTTTGGACTTCAGCACAATTCTCTCTCTCTCTGGTATGATTGGATCTTTTCATCTTGGAGCATAAATAATTCTCACGGCTATAGTCACATACTGAAGCTTTGCTCCATAATTCTTATTAAGGTGAGCCATCATCTTTTCCAGTCAAGTTTTCTCTGACTTATTTTCGTTTTGTTTGATATTCCCTACCAAGGAAAAAGGAAGAGGGGCCGACCAAGGGCAAGATGGATGGATGGGATCCTTGAAGTGACTGGATTGTCCTTGAAGGAGCTGGGGGTGGTGACGGCTGACAGGGAGCTCTGCCGTGGGCTGGTCCATGAGGTCATGAAGAGTCGGAAACAACTGAACGAATGAACAACAACAACCAATATGCTCATTTCATTCCAATTGTGACCTTTATTACATGTTCACCACGTGCCCCTAGCTTCTGATCACATTTCCAACATTTGTTTGATGCGTTTTTATACATTTTAGAAAGTCTTTCAGGAGTTAGATACCTCCTATACATCAATGTATTGACAATTATCTCAGATCATAGTCCCATGCAGTAATTTCTGTGTGGGCTTTTGTCCCCCTAGTGCTCTCATTAATCGATACAACCTTATGACACCTTTTCCAACTGCAATTATTGTCAAAGACTTTTTTTTCCTATACAGAAAATCTCTGCATGCAATTCTCAGAGAATAAATTCCAAAGTTGCGAAGTCTTTAAAAACTCCAAAACACTTGGAAGGCCCAAGTTTGCCCATGCCTGTCATAGTCTCAACCAATACAACAAAGTTTGTGGCAGCCACAAAAACAAAGTTTCGAGAGTATAACAACTACTTTCAAAGGAAGCAATGCACAATTAAACAGGAAATAAGTCTTTTCAACCAGGAACAGAAAAAAAAAATCAAATGTGTTACATAGCATTATTGGATTCTGAAGTTTGGATCCATGCTGAGCCATAGAAACCCACTGGGTGACCTTGGCCAAGTCTCAGCCTGAACAACAACAACAACAACAACAGAGATAATTCTGACCTGACAACCTGAGTCATAGAATCGCAGAGTTGGAAGAGACTGTGTGGGCCATCCAGTCCAAACTCCTGCCAAGAAGCAAGAAAATTGCATTCCGAGCACCCCCGACAGATGGCCATCCAGCCTCTGTTTAAAAGCTTCCAAAGGAGGAGCCTCCACCACACTCCGGGGCAGAGAGTTCCACTGCTGAACGGCTCTCACAGTCAGGAAGTTCTTCCTAATGTTCAGATGGAATCTCCTTTCTTGTAGTTTGAAGCCATTGTTCCACATCCTAGTCCCCAAGGAAGAAGAAAACAAGCTTGCTCCCTCCTCCCTGTGGCTTCCTCTCACATATTTATACATGGCCATCAAGTGTCCTCTCAGCATTCTCTTCTTCAGGCTAAACATGCCCAGCTCTTTAAGCCACTCCTCATAGGGCTTGTCCTCCAGACCCCTGATCATTTTAGTCACCCTCCTCTGGACACATTCCAGCTTGTCAATATCTCTCTTCCATCGTGGTGCCCAGAATTGGACACAATATTCCAGGTATGGTCTAACCAAGGCAGAACAGAGGGGTAGCATTACTTCCCTGGATCTAGACACTAGACTCTCAGCCTTCTCTTCTTCAGGCTAAACAGGCCCAGCTCTTTAAGCCGCTCCTCATAGGGCTTGTTCTCCAGAGCCCTGATCATTTTAGTCGCCCTCCTCTGGACACTTTCAGGCTTAAAACATCCTGTGGGAAATCATAAACTCTGAGTCCCCTTCAGGGTAAGAAGGGCGGCATAAAAATGTTGTAAATAAATAAATTGCAATGTTTGGAAAGTCTAACCAATCCAGTGTTTTGATTGGCTGCTTCAGAAGGCCAACTTGGCCATTGGCCCAAACCGTAAACAACTGCATAAGACACCACTTACTTGGATTTTAAATAAAGAGGAGCATTCCTTCTTCTGTACAGAGACCAAAGAAGGTGATAACATATTGGAAATAAGCCGAAAAATGAATAAAAACAACTTTTTTAAAAACCTAAAATACTACAAGAGTTACATAATATGCCCTTTAGCCAAGACAGGCTTCCTTCTAGGGCTGGAGAGAGTGGAAGGGGCAAGCCAGGATGGGAAAAGCTGCTTTCAAGTCCTGACTCAACCTTCAACCTCAATGTTGGAGTTCAAGGTTGCATCTAAGAATAGTATTGCCTACACTGTGGAATCAATGCAGTTTGGCACCACTTGGATCAACGCTGTGGAGTCCAAGGAGCTGTCCTTTGACCAGGCCTTTCTTGACCCTTCTCTGACAATATTATTATTAGATTCCATTGCATTGAGCCCTGGCAGGTTTAAAGTGGCATCGAAGTGCACTAATTCGGCAGTGCAGCCTAGGCAAAAGCAATCGAGGAGATTGCAACACCACCCCCCTGGAAATGCTCCCTTTTGGGCTCCCGACTCCAAACTGGTTCCGAAGTGTCTTACCCCGCCTCACCTCGCACAGCCTCCCGCCGACGCCGCTGCACTGCTAATTGCGATTGAGCCGGCGCTTCATTCAGGCTCTGGGTGTGGCGTCACAACAAGGGGGCGTGGTCACCGTGCAGCCACGCCCCCTCGCGGACCGAGATCAAGGCTCCTAATCTACGGGCTCCTCGTCTTAAAGGGAGCGCTGCTCTTCGGTGCGCATGCGTGGCAAGGGGCGGGGCGCTGACGACAGGGAGATCACGAGTGAGGCCTATCAGATGACATTATGCCAGAGTTATGCGTCCTCGTTAGCTGCCATGGCAACGCCCAGTGGCACTCTGGGGTTTGTAGTTTAGTGAGGCCTAGGCGTTCCCTGGTTGAAAGCCCTCAGGGCCCTTCCACACAGCCCTGTATCCCAGAATATTAAGGCAGAAAATCCCAGTCTCAGAGTGTGGACTCAGGGCCCTTCCACACAGCCCTATATCCCAGAATATCAAGGTAGAAAATGTTGACAATTTCCGCTACCAAAATACAACACCGCCTGAGCTCTGCAAGTGCAGCATTTTTTTCCAGTGTTCATCCGTAGGGAGACCAAGGTGCTTGTTTATAAAGCTATTGTCCTCCCAACCTGCTATACGCCTTCGAGACGTGGACTGTCTACAGATGCGTTTTTATACATTTTAGAAAGTCTTTCAGGAGTTTCCATCAACTCTGCCTCCAGAAAATCCTGCAAATCTCTTGGGAAGACAAGCAGACAAACATCAGAGTGCTGGAAGAAGCAAAGACCAAGACTGAAGTGATGGTCCTCCGCCATCAACTCTGCTGGACCGGCCACATTGTCCGGATGCCTGACCACTGTCTCCCAAAGCAGTTGGTCTACTCCAAACTCAAGAACGGAAAATCGAATGTTGGAGGGCAGGAAAAGAGATTTAAAGATGGGCTCAAAGCCAACCTTAAAAACTCTGGCATAGACACTGAGAACTGGGAAGCCCTGGCCCTTGAGCGCTCCAGCTGGAGGTCAGCTGTGACCAGCAGTGCTGTAGAATTTGAAGAGGCACGAATGGAGGGTGAAAGAGAGAAATGTGCTAAGTGGAAGGCATGTCAAACCAACTCCAACTGGGACCACCTTCCACCTGGAAACAAATGCCCTTACTGTGGGAGAACATGCAGATCAAGAATAGGGCTCCACAGTCATCTACGGACCCACTGCCAGAACACCTATCTTGGAAGGCAATCCTACTCGGACAACGAGGGATCGCCTAAGTAAATAAGTAAGTAAGTAAGTAAGTAAGTAATATCCCAGAATATCAAGGCAGAAAATCCCACATTATCTGAGTGTGGACTCAGATAGCCCAGTTGAAAGCAGATATTGTGGGATTTTCTGCCTTCATATTCTGGGATATAGGGCTGTGTGGAAGGGCCCTGACAGTGGATCTGAACCAAATTTTTCACACATACTCACCATGCCCAACTTTACATTCAGGTGGGGTTTGGGGATTGACCCTCTGCAATAAGAGTTGTAATTCACCCATATTCAGAGACCACTGTGCACCTCAATGATAATGGATCTGGACCAAACTTGGCACACATACCCAACATGATAAACTTGAACTTCTGATGGGGTTTGGAGGCAATGATGAGAGTTGTAGTTCTGCCACATCCTTATTTATTTTCTAATAGGGACATTAATAAAATCCAAAAACAGACAAAGTATTGCTATAAAAGATCTAGCCCTTACATCGCTGTGACTCTCTTGCAATGTTGCGAAGAATTCAAGTGTGTATTCTGTACTAGGCGTAGCCAAGCTGAACACTGTATGCTCTCACTATTTGTGGTCCAGAACAGTTAGGAATGTAACCAAACATAAAGTTGTGGCTTCAGATTTATGTGTGTGTGCTGCCAAAGACCATTCTTCTTCTTCCAATGTGGGCCAAGGAAGCTAAAATATTGGACACCCCTGCTGTAAACCGTACTGCCTGTTGGCTTAATAATGGGCAATTCTTTCTTTCCTCCCAAATTTCCATTCATTCAAATAGAGTTGTTGAACTGAGCTGAATTTTAAAAGGAGGTCAATGGTTATCCTGAGACGTGTGTTGCTGCCATTCAGAGAAGGAAAAGTGAAATATTCCACTGTGAACACTTTTGGGTGAAAGTTAATATTTGGATGTAATCTCACCAAGAAATACCACATGCTCTGGGCTATATTTTAGGGGAAGGCAGTATGAAGCCACCTCTTGTGTTGCATCTGCACTGTGGAATTAATGCAGCTTGACACCACTGAGTATGCCATGGAATCACGGGAGTTGTAGGTCTTTAGCATTCTCTGCGAAGGAGTTTGGCTGCTTCACTAAACTACAGTTCACATAATTCCATACCATTTAGTCAAAATGGTGTCAAACTGCATTCATGTCACAGTATAGACACACCCTAAGAAAACCCTTTGAAATTACAGGATTTTGTGCATTTCTATTGGTCCGAAAAGGTATCACTTTTTGTGGATTTTCCATTTTGTTGTAAATTTCACAAACTGACTTGAAATCGCACAAAACGCACACAACAATTTAGGGCCCTTCTACCCAGCCATATAACCCAGAATATCAAGGTAGATAATCCAGAAGACCTGCTTTGAAATGGGTTATCTGAATCCATACTTCCATATAATCCAGTTCAATGTGGATTTTATACAGTTGTGTGGAAGGGGACCAGGACATTCTTTGTCCAACATCTTGTGTTCTTTATGGATAGGCTGAGAAACTCAGCAAACAAACTACACAGATTATGGCTTGTCTTGGGAGGGAGACATCTCCCAAAATCCACAGTGAAGCAATACTTGTATTTCAAAGTCCCTATAAGGCTAGTTGACATATGCAAACACCAAAGTTAAAGTGATAAACAAGCAAGTAAGCCTTGGAAGGCTCCCAGGCTTTTCTTTAAATCCAAGTCTTTTTAAATGACTATTATAAGGATTTGTAAGGTCATGATCCTTCCATTACTAAGCACTTTTTGTAGTTTTGATCATGTCAGTAAAGGAGCCTTTGATAAGCCGAAGCCCCATGTCAGTGCGCCTGGGGCAAGTTGTGGTCAGTTGTGGCTAACTATTTAAAAGGTAAATGTCCAAATATTTCTCCCATCAGATTGAGGTATGGAAGCAAAAAAGATTTTGGATCTCTCCTGGTGAAGTTACTGCCAGCACTGATGAGGAATAAGTTTGGTTGGTTTGGTATGCAGTTTCCTTCCCTGGAGGATTTTAAGGAGAGGCTTGATGGCCATCTGTCAGTAGTGCTTTGATTGTGTATTCCTGTATGACGGGATGGGGCCGGCCTGGTTGGCCATTGAGGTCTCTTCCAACTCTATGATTTCAAATAAGAGTAGCAGAAACTATTAGTCTGATGCTAAGAGAGCCCATTTCTTTGCAGGCCATACTGAGACTCTCCAGGATCGTTACTCCACTACTTCTAATGATCCATCTATACTGCAGAATTAATGCATTTTGACATCACTTTAATAATAATAATAATAATAATAATAATAATAATAATAACAACAACAACAACAATAGCAGCAGCAACAACAACAACAACATTTATTTATATTCAGCCCTATCTCCCTAGCGGGACTCAACTGCCATGGCTCAGTGCTAAGAAATAATGGGGATTTGTAGTTTTCTGATACCCCAGCACTCTTTGGCAGAGAAACCTAAAAATCTTGTAAAACTACAACTACCAGGATTTCATAAAGTTACAGCGGTGTCAAACTGCATTAACTGTATGCATCTGAAGTCGGCCTCTGCTTTATCCTTTTGCACTCACACAGCTCAGACCGGCCAACAGAGGAAGAAGACACCTTCTTGTGAATTCAACCTTTGTTGCAGTGTTCACAGACTGTCACTGGATGGCACCAGATGCCAGCAGAAAGTTGTGCTGTTAAGGTTTTCTTTAACCTCGCTTGACAGGAATGTATGCTAAAGCATGATAAGTTTAGGGCCCTTCCACACAGCCACATAACCCAGAATATCAAGGCAGATAATCCACAATATCTGCTTTGAACTGGGTTATCTGGGTCCGCATTGCCATATAATCCACTTCAATGTGGATTTTATACAGCTGTGTGGAAGGGGTCTCAGACTCATCCTAAGACTTGGAACTTACTCAGCAGAGTCAGAAAATGGTAGTCCCAGCTCCCTAAAGTCAAACTATATGGATTTATTGCTGATGATGATACTATTATGTGCCTTCAAGTAATTTCCAACATATGGATACCATAATGTTGAGCTTGTAAAACTTATTTATTTAGGCTGGCATTTAAATCATGTTGATTGAAAATTTTCTTTGATTTTAAATGTAATGTATCACATATGTATATTGTAAACCGGCCCCAGCATTCAGGGAGTGGCGGCAGAGGCGGCCCTAGGTAATATTCAACGCTAAGCAAACAGTATTTTGCCCCCCCCCCCCCCCCAACCAATCACTGATATAGATATTTTCTAAGTTCTTGTGGGTTTTTTCGGGCTATATGGCCATGTTCTAGAGGCATTTCTCCTGACGTTTCGCCTGCTATATATTTTCTGTTTGTCGTGGGAGTTCTGTGTGTCATATTTGGTTCAATTCCATCATTGGTGGAGTTCAGAAAGCTCTTTGATTGTAGGTGAACTATACATCCCAGTAACTACAACTCACATATGTCAAGGTCTATTTTCCCCCAAGAGCACCTCAAGAGTGCCCCTGGGCAAAATCAACTATACTGCAAATGCTTACTTTGCGTAATGGGTTGAGCCGCCCCTGAGTGGCGGTATATAAAATTGATAAATAAATAAATAACTAAATAAATAAAATAATGTGATTCAATCATGGGGCTTTCTTGGCAAGATTCGTTCAGATGGAGTTTAACTTTAGCTTGCTCTGAGGCCGAGAGGATGTGATTTGCCCAATGTCACCCAATGGGTTTCTGTGGCCACACAGGGATTTGAATGCTAGTTTCCAGAGTTGTAATCCTATGCACATACCACTCTGGCTCTCCAAGGCCTCTTCCACACAGTTATACAAAATCCACATTGAAATGGATTATATGGCAATGTGGACTCAGATAACCCAGTTCAAAGCAGATATTGTGGATTATCTGCCTTGATATTCTAGGTTATG